CTTCTGAGATGGAGAGATGACTTTCCCCGCAGGGATGGGGGGTGATGGACAGCTGGGCTGGGGTGAAGATGGCTGGGACACTCTAGATGCAACTACAAAGCAAATGAGAAACAAAAAACATGAGTCCCGAGGATCGGAATGATGACATCGGAGATATGACGTACAGCCAGGGGGAAGAAGAGCTGGCACTCTAATATTAAAAGCAGGACCCAAATCCATGACGTAGCCCACGCCATTCATACCTACGCTGACCATGGAAAGCACCGTGTATGTTCTGTGCGTGCAGGAATACGATTCATGTATCAGAAGCTACGGGATGTGATTGTTACATTGTACATAGTAAAAGATATATCACCACAAGTATCGGGACGCCTTTACACGCACATGAACTTTAATGGCCCCCCAGTCTTAGTCCGTAGGGTTCAGTATTGGGTTGGCTCCGCCCTCTAATGACATCCCAGTCTTAGTCGGTAGGGTTCAGTATTGGGTTGGCTCCGCCCTCTAATGACATCCCAGTCTTAGTCGGTAGGGTTCAGTATTGGGTTGGCTCCGCCCTCTAATGACATCCCAGTCTTAGTCGGTAGGGTTCAGTATTGGGTTGGCTCCGCCCTCTAACGGCATCCCAGTCTTAGTCCGTAGGGTTCAGTATTGGGTTGGCTCCGCCCTCTAATGACATCCGAGTATTAGTCTGTAGGGTTCAGTATTGGGTTGGCTCCGCCCTCTAATGACATCCCAGTCTTAGTCCGTAGGGATCAGTATTGGGTTGACTCCGCCCTCTAATGGCCCCCCAGTCTAAGTCTGTAGGGTTCAGTAATGGGTTGGCCCACGCCCTCTAATGACATCCCGGTCTTAGTCCGTAGGGTTCAGTATTGGGTTGGCTCCGCCCTCTAATGACATCCCAGTCTTAGTCGGTAGGGTTCAGTATTGGGTTGGCTCCGCCCTCTAATGACATCCGAGTCTTTGTCTGTAGGGTTCAGTATTGGGTTGGCTCCGCCCTCTAATGACATCCCAGTCTTAGTCCGTAGGGTGCAGTATTGGGTTGGCTCCGCCCTCTAATGACATCCCAGTCTTAGTCCGTAGGGTGCAGTATTGGGTTGGCTCCGCCCTCTAATGACATCCCAGTCTTAGTCCGTAGGGTGCAGTATTGGGTTGGCTCCGCCCTCTAATGACATCCCAGTCTTAGTCCGTAGGGTGCAGTATTGGGTTGGCTCCGCCCTCTAATGACATCCCAGTCTTAGTCCGTAGGGTGCAGTATTGGGTTGGCTCCGCCCTCTAATGACATCCCAGTCTTAGTCCGTAGGGTGCAGTATTGGGTTGGCTCCGCCCTCTAATGACATCCCAGTCTTAGTCCGTAGGGTGCAGTATTGGGTTGGCTCCGCCCTCTAATGACATCCCAGTCTTAGTCCGTAGGGTGCAGTATTGGGTTGGCTCCGCCCTCTAATGACATCCCAGTCTTAGTCCGTAGGGTGCAGTATTGGGTTGGCTCCGCCCTCTAATGACATCCCAGTCTTAGTCCGTAGGGTGCAGTATTGGGTTGGCTCCGCCCTCTAATGACATCCCAGTCTTAGTCCGTAGGGTGCAGTATTGGGTTGGCTCCGCCCTCTAATGACATCCCAGTCTTAGTCCGTAGGGTGCAGTATTGGGTTGGCTCCGCCCTCTAATGACATCCCAGTCTTAGTCCGTAGGGTGCAGTATTGGGTTGGCTCCGCCCTCTAATGACATCCCAGTCTTAGTCCGTAGGGTGCAGTATTGGGTTGGCTCCGCCCTCTAATGACATCCCAGTCTTAGTCCGTAGGGTGCAGTATTGGGTTGGCTCCGCCCTCTAATGACATCCCAGTCTTAGTCCGTAGGGTGCAGTATTGGGTTGGCTCCGCCCTCTAATGACATCCCAGTCTTAGTCCGTAGGGTGCAGTATTGGGTTGGCTCCGCCCTCTAATGACATCCCAGTCTTAGTCCGTAGGGTGCAGTATTGGGTTGGCTCCGCCCTCTAATGACATCCCAGTCTTAGTCCGTAGGGTGCAGTATTGGGTTGGCTCCGCCCTCTAATGACATCCCAGTCTTAGTCCGTAGGGTGCAGTATTGGGTTGGCTCCGCCCTCTAATGACATCCCAGTCTTAGTCCGTAGGGTGCAGTATTGGGTTGGCTCCGCCCTCTAATGACATCCCAGTCTTAGTCCGTAGGGTGCAGTATTGGGTTGGCTCCGCCCTCTAATGACATCCCAGTCTTAGTCCGTAGGGTGCAGTATTGGGTTGGCTCCGCCCTCTAATGACATCCCAGTCTTAGTCCGTAGGGTGCAGTATTGGGTTGGCTCCGCCCTCTAATGACATCCCAGTCTTAGTCCGTAGGGTGCAGTATTGGGTTGGCTCCGCCCTCTAATGACATCCCAGTCTTAGTCCGTAGGGTGCAGTATTGGGTTGGCTCCGCCCTCTAATGACATCCCAGTCTTAGTCCGTAGGGTGCAGTATTGGGTTGGCTCCGCCCTCTAATGACATCCCAGTCTTAGTCCGTAGGGTGCAGTATTGGGTTGGCTCCGCCCTCTAATGACATCCCAGTCTTAGTCCGTAGGGTGCAGTATTGGGTTGGCTCCGCCCTCTAATGACATCCCAGTCTTAGTCCGTAGGGTGCAGTATTGGGTTGGCTCCGCCCTCTAATGACATCCCAGTCTTAGTCCGTAGGGTGCAGTATTGGGTTGGCTCCGCCCTCTAATGACATCCCAGTCTTAGTCCGTAGGGTGCAGTATTGGGTTGGCTCCGCCCTCTAATGACATCCCAGTCTTAGTCCGTAGGGTGCAGTATTGGGTTGGCTCCGCCCTCTAATGACATCCCAGTCTTAGTCCGTAGGGTGCAGTATTGGGTTGGCTCCGCCCTCTAATGACATCCCAGTCTTAGTCCGTAGGGTGCAGTATTGGGTTGGCTCCGCCCTCTAATGACATCCCAGTCTTAGTCCGTAGGGTGCAGTATTGGGTTGGCTCCGCCCTTTGCCGCTATAACAGCTCCGCCTCTTCTGGGAAGGCATCCACAAGGTTTAGGAGTGTGTCTATGGCCTTGGTTCTCAACTGGTGGGTCGCGGTCCGTGTTCAGTGGGTCGCCGCATGCCTTCCACTTTTGTAGGTGAGCGGCTCCTCTGCACCGCCCTAGCGCAGTTCTCGCGCCAAGCAGCCATTCAAAATATGCTGCCCGGTGCCGGGTGTCAGCTTGAGGTGGGGTGGGATGAGGCCATGGCCGCGAGGGAGCTCCACCCATACATGGATTGCTTATAGCTCCCTCATGTGTCCTGTAGAGGTGCCTGGACCGGAGTGACGTCACATTCTGGCTCCCGGCACCTCTACAGGACACGCAAGGGAGCTGTACCAGCACTGCACGTATGGATGGAGCTCCGTCACAGCACAGCAGCCCACACCGGGGCCCCGGGCCGAGGATCCGCTCCAGTTCTTGTAAAGATTGGGAGACTGGATGGATGTACGTGTGCGTGGGAATGTTTTTGAGGGCCCATGTAGACTAATCGCGCAGTCCCGTGTCGGGGGTGTGTTCCATTGCCATTCGTTGGAATGGCACCCCAAACGCACCTCCCACCCCACAGTTTGATCACCCCCACCGGAGCGTGCGTTCCAGTGCGGTGAGACTTGGGTCATGACCAAGGACAAATTAGGGCCCTGAGGATACACAGGCTGAGAACCCGCTGGTCTATGGGAATGTTGGACCATTTGTGAGGTCAGGTACTGATGTTGGGGGAGGGGCTCGCAGTCTCCGCTCTAATTCATCCCAAAGTTGTTCTATGGGGTTGAGGTCAGGACTCGGTGCGGCCAGTCACGTTCCTCCCCCCTCCCCCATCCATGTCTTTATGGACCTTGCTTTGTGCACTGGTGCGCAGTCATGTTGGAACAGGAAGGGGCCATCCCCAAACTCCTCCCACAAAGTTGGGAGCATGAAATTGTCCAAAATGCCTTGGGGTGCTGATGTCTTAAGAGTTCCCTTCACTGGAACTAAGGGGCGGAGCCCAACCC